GTTCGCAAGTCGGTATCGGGCCAGGCGCTGCGGCTCTCCCGCGCTTACGTCCCGGGACACAGACACCCCATGTTCCCCACCCCGCTGGAATTGCTTTGACTTCCCTTGCGTGCTCTTTTTAATCCCTTTGCTGTGTTTGCTCGAGGCTCTGCAGGCTGGACGGAGCGCAGGTGTCTGGTGGGGAAGAGCTGGTGGATGGTGGTTACTACGTGGCGGTGGGTGCTGAGGAATACCAAAACCTGCCCTACGTGGAGCTGCTGGTGCCCCCGGCGCCGGGGTACAGGGCGCTGCGGTGCGTCGGCAGCTCTTGGTGCTGCTGGTTCCCAGCACGGGGCTCGGGCATCTTGGTGGGGACACGTGTGTTGCCGTGAGGCTCTCTCTGTGCTGAGAACAGGCGCCGCGGGGGCTCTTCCTTGTGGGAAAACGGGAGCGGGGATTGTGTCCACGGTGACTTCTGATAACGAGAAGCTGCTGCTGCTTCATTACAGGAACCACCCAAACAGCAGGAGCAGGAACTATGGAGGAAGGGTAGGTGGCTCCGCCGCGGCGGGACACGGGTGCTCGTGCACGCTCCGTCCGGGAACCATAGAATCATAGAACTGCCAAATGCTTAGGGTTGGAAGGGACCTCATGGCAAATCTGCACTTGAATTAAATCTCCCTGCCTGAGAAAACCTCCTGAAACCTCCTCTCCTCCTGAAACCTCCTCTCCTCTTTTTTGGCTGACGAGGGAGAATTCGGACTGGGGCTGAGCGCTCTCTCCTGCTCTCTGGGTGGGGAAAAGTCCTGCAATGGGGACTGCAGCGACAGCAGCTGGGCTCTCCTGGACCGTCCCCTGGAATCTCGGTCTGTGCTATCTCTGAAAATGCTGCTTTGCTTTTGAAATTTCCTTTTCCTCCTGTTTTCAGCTTGGCAAACTGCACCACCTCCCAGGACAGAGCTAGCGACTCTGCTCTTGCTTTCCCACTTCAACATGTAGTAACTGCAGAAGGAAAATGTCTTTCCTGTACCTATTTACGTGTGGAATCAACTCAAAACCTTGCTAAGGCAATGTTACAGCTTCATACCAGTCGGGTTTAGGACTCCTGGGTAGGAAGTCGCAGTGTTTTTTACTGGAATTGCCCTGTAAAACTGCTCGTTGTATAAACTGCTTTACCATGAGGGCGTACAGACGTGTGTGATGGACTTTTTCAGCTGGACAGTCGCAGAGCGCAGACCACAGAAGCCGCAGAGAAAGACAAGATTGCAAATGCTTCTCCAGGGCTGCAGAAGCAACCCAGAAAACCTCCTCTCCAAGGGGAAGAGTCTCTTTTCCATGCCAGACCTGTCCGTGCAGGACGAAACAGGAAGAGTAACATGAACGTGCAGCACTGGCCTGATCAAGGTGAAGCTAAAATTTTGCTATAAATGTTGTGAAACACTGGCTTTACTTTGATGCTAAAGGACAAAATATCTACCAATGTGCTTGAAGCAAGCAGCCATGTGGTCTACCTAGTAACTTCTGTATTTCTGCTCCTTCTTCTCTCCTTGTGACACATATGACCATGACTTTTCTGTGATTTTAACAAGACTAGGCCTTGCAACACCCATTTAGCAGCTTTTCACCCCTTTGCAGAAGGAGGTGTTTATAAAGCCAAAGATCCCAGGAGGGAGATGCGAGGTGCACATGAAGTAACAGAGGATGAACACACGAAGGCAGAGGTGCCCATTGACCAGGTAGGAGAGTTTTCTGCTCTCTCAGGAGTCTCACGAGGCTACGGGGAGGTATTTGCACCCACCAGGCTCTATTGGTGCTCCTGCTTTTGCACAGCAGGGACACAGACTCCAGGAAACAGCCATCCAAGCGACATCTCGGATGTATCCCCATGGAGAAATACTTCCATTTTTTTTGCGAAACAGCCCTAAGAACAGATGAATCAGTAATTTATAGGGGGTTTGGGATACTGGCTCATTTCTTTCTTGCTTGTTTTTAGTCAGGCTCTACGCTAGGTTTATTAAGCATTTTCCTCTGGAGTTTGTAGCATTGAAGTAATCACGAGGGGGAACTTCTGAAGCCAGAGGAGTGGATTACTGCAGGGCTCTGCGTTTTACAAAGTCTGGAGATTGTAATCTGGGTAATGAACATTTCCCTTTTCCTGGTGTGTCAGAGTAATAGCATCTTTACCCTCTTCCAGACAGCTGCAAACATTGTGGAAGAGGAATTTATACAAAAAGCCAAAATGAGAAGCCACAACAAGGTATTTATTCGACTTTAATGTTTCTGTGAAACTTATTAGATGCTTCCTGGCTGTGTTCTAGCGGAGGTTTTTTTACACAAAACTTAGTAGCCTCAAATATAACTTTTAAACAGAATTTGTCTTTAGCCAGGTGCAGCTGGGAAGGCAGCAGGATATAAATATGTAAGTCATAAAATGTCTGAACATATTTGTTAGGTAATACCAACACCAAAACTTGAAAGGAAACAAATTCTTGGGGTCTTTCTAAAAGCAAAAGTCGATGTGAAAAATGCCTGAAAGATGCTTGGTGCTCACGGAGTATTCCTGTGTCAGGCTTTTCATAAGGACACTTAAAATTGATGTAATGGGATGACATGCGTTCTATTAAAGATGATTCACAGTTCTGCCTAGGTAATCTCTGCGGACTAATTAGAACTTCAAAGGGAAACACATACGTTGAACTGAAATTAGAGAAAGCCCTAGTAAAGAATGAGCCCTGTCCTGGCTCTGTGCTGAGAATTAAGCTTGCACTTAAGGCCATGGCCAGACTGGAAATGGAATCCAGTTTGGTCCCAGGAGCTGTGTGCAAGAGCAGGAAGCTCTATGTTAATAACTGTGTTTCTTTCTTACTGCACAAAGGTTTGGAGTGGAGACAAACCACAAAGGAGCGTGGCAACACGGAGGGATGCCGGCGATCCCAAAGATGGGAAGCATGGAATGGTGTCTTCCCTTAGCAGCAAGGAACTCTGAAGACCTCCCAAAGGGAACGTGACGGGAGAGAGACATTTAGGTAGACTGATACCTGGCAGCTGCAGATAACAAGAGCATGTGATTCATAGATACATGTAGCACCAAAGGTCATGTAGCACCAAAGGCTTCTGATGAATTAAAACTTCCCTAAGATCAAGCATCCTAATTATCTGGGTTGGAGAGAGAAACTACCAGTGAAGTGGGAATGAGATGCCCCGTTTTGTTGAAGAATATAAGTACTCCTGCTTTCCCCCTCTCTACAGTGTGATGATTTGGCAGAGGAGAGGGCTCTTTTTTCCCAAACTCTGATCAAGAAACTGGTTTGTATCTGAACTGGGGAGGAAGTGCTACCAAAGAGAATGTACTCCTTTATAATAAAATAACAGCCGGAAAATTTGTTATGTATTAAAAGATATTTCTTTCAAAAATATTTCACAGCCACTTTCACAGCCTGAGCCACAGAAGAGAAGACTTCCTAACGATGCCTTCTACAGAAAATCAGCTGGGTCATAATTAAGGCAAAGAGTGTCTTGAAGAATTTATTAACAATTTATTATCCCTCCAGTCCGAAAAAAGAAGATAATTCAGTCACCCTTGCCTCATGGAAAAAAAAAAAAAGAAAAAGAAAACTTAAGCCAGGGTATCAAATAAGATATTCTTGGAAAATGCATTGCTCCACCATGGTGCTGAGGGAATACAATCTGTGTTTTTAGATGTGTGTGTCAAAATGCAGCTTCCTCAATGCAGCAGAAACTCCCCTCTTCAGCCCTGGGGGTTACCTTGGAGCAGGTTTGCTTCCTGCTGTTTCTCACTGTGTCTTGTTGATGAACCAGCTACGC